ACCCAGGCCCACGGCACAAGGCGCTCGGGCAGCCCCGGCCCTAGGGCACACGCCGGCGCCGGGTACAAGGGCATCCCAGTCCCCTGGCGTGTCCCTGGACGCGTGGCCCCGCTCCCGGGCGCCCGGCACGTGAGTGGCCCCCACCTCCCGGGCTCCCGGGAGCCTCTAAAGGTTGGGGACCACTGCTCTAAGGTACTGCAACCCAGGCCCACGGCACAAGGCGCTCGGGCAGCCCCGGCCCTAGGGCACACGCCGGCGCCGGGTACAAGGGCATCCCAGTCCCCTGGCGTGTCCCTGGACGCGTGGCCCCGCTCCCGGGCGCCCGGCACGTGAGTGGCCCCCACCTCCCGGGCTCCCGGGAGCCTCTAAAGGTTGGGGACCACTGCTCTAAGGTACTGCAGGACCATTGGTTTTTTTTGTTTGTTTGTTTGTTTTGCAAATCTAGAGTAATTCCACTCCCTTGAGAGCAGCCTTTGGCCTTTTTTTCATGAACGCCCTTTATTACATTCTTGAAGATTTACCCAGCATTCCTTCCTTTTTGTTTCTCTTCATTTAAATCATTGTTCTGAAGTGGGACCAGGCTGAGGGTTTCAGTGTGCAGGCTGCCCTGGAAAGGGGACTACCCCAGCCCTCTCTCACTGCAGCAGCACGGGGCCAGGTGAGATGCCCCTGTCCATGACTGCTGCAGTGGGTGCAGCCAGGGGAGGGGTGCATGTGCTCCGGCTGGGACAGGTCCCTTGCACTCCCCTGCCAGAGTGAGGAATGGAGCAAACTGTGCGCTTTCCTCTCACTCCCTGATAAAGAGCAACATCCAGCAATTCCCCCACTCTTTAAATTGGGGCAAGAACTGTCTGTCCCCATATGCTTGTACTGCACCTTTCACAATAGGAGCCCAAAGGGCTACTGCAGTGTAAATAATAAGTGAACAGTCTCACTTCCTCACTTTTTTTTTTTTTTAGCTCTATGTAAAGTGCAGTGGATTGGAAACTTAGCTCCCGTAGTAGCAAATGAGACATGCCATTCATGAGTGTAGAAGGGAGCACCAGCAAGTTCGTAAGCAGCCTTCTGTAACGTTTCTCGCTCTTTCCTACCTGTCTTCGTAGTTACCCAGTTTATAGATAGAAAAAGCAAAGCCGCAGCCTTGCTGCTGAGTTTGTAATCTGCCAGTTAGTGCCTAGGCTGTGTGCATGCGCCCGTCTGTCTATATTTAGTGTCTATTGGAACCCCTGTTCCCAGAATCCATGAATACAGCAGCCTGGATGCTAAATGGAGCAAAATCCATTTGCCAGATGTGGGTGATCAGTAAAGCCAAGCTAAATACTGTATTCCCTCTGCTCCAGAGGAGGGCAATTTTGGCTTGATGCTTTTGGCATGCCTAGGCAGGCCTGTGAATGGATTAATGATGTGGTAGTAGAAGGAGACACCATGACCTACAGAACAGTTTGTTCAAAGCTGCGGCCGAGGGAATGCAGTTTGGAAAATATGAGAGGAGCTGGGTGAAGGGGAATACCTGATGGGTTGAGGGCCACATTCCTCTCTTGGAGGAAATCAGTAGGAGTGTAAGGATGCAGAGTTGCCCTGTGCATTTTGCAGTGAGGCAGCCTGAACCATTATAAAGCAGACATTTAAGTGCGAGGCTGATCCTGCTCCTAACTACACAGCTGCATTGAAGTCAATGAAACCTCCATGCGCACATCTGAAAGCAGGACTTGGCTTGACTCCAATCAGTATTTTGGGTTTACAAGAGACTGTGGGTAGCTTTTCTGCTTGATACACATGCAGCATTCCCATTGACCTCAGTGAGTTTGAGCACTGCCATCCAAGCTAGAATAGTAAGGAATGATGGTCCCGTGTTAGGGCCTGGGCCTGGCTTGTGGAAAGTCTGGGTTCAATTCCTTGCCCTATCGTAAACTTCCTGTGTGACCTTGGGCAAGTCACTTAAGCTTAGATTTTGAATAGGAATTAGTTGCTTAAATTCCTCTAAATATCTGATTGTCTCTGTTTCCCATCTGTAAAATGGTTACTATGGTAATGGGGGCCCTATAGGTACCTAAGAGACAGACTTACATAGCAGAGCTGTGGTTCTTGGCCTCTTGTAGCAACTGTAGCAGTTTCCCAGACTGAGACAGCTGTACAAGGTCCCTCCAGTCCATAGCATAGTTGGAGCGGCTGTCCCAGGCCCTGCACTTCTGGAAGCCCTGTGGCAGCTGCCTAAACCGTCCCATGGATGGGAGGCACTCAAAGAAGTTACAAGGGCCTGGCGCAGGGTGGCAGCAGGGAGGTCCCCTCGTGCACTCACTGTGGTGGCATGATCTGGAGTGGCCTGCCACACCACCCTCTCCCCATCTCTGTGCCCTGAAACAGAGTGCCCCGGCCCTAAAGCACTCTGCTTCCTTTCACTGTAATCCCCCGACTCGCGTTGATCGGGGAAAGGACAAGGGGGCATGGGTGAAGCAGGGCAAGGCTTGTGGAAAGGGATTGAGTGGGGTGGAGCAGGGGCAGAGCCTGTAGTGGGGGCCTGCCCCAGGCCCTCTCCCCTTCCCCTGTCCAGGGACAACCCTGCCTACAGCTTCCCATTCACCTGTTTGTTCAGTGCACGTGCAGTCGGGTAATCAGGGATGTATTGACCTGTGGGCCAGCCCCTGACCCCATGACGGCAGTACGTCCGATGCCACTCCAGTGATGAGACACAAGTGGTTTTTCCTCCCATCTTATTATGTGGGTTTTAATCTGATCTGGTCGCATTGGTTGCTGTGGCCACATGGTGATCTGTGGTTCCATGAACAATGGGCCCGCCTTCTCCAGAGGTGTTGGCTGAGCACCTACAGCTCCCATTATTGTCAATCAGACGTTACTGGCAGCCATAAGTACTTGAAGGGCTGGAGGGGAGACTCCACCGTGCACCGCATGGCACGCCACAAAGCAATGTGAGTGCAGCATTACTGGTTAAATACTATGGGGTCTTGAGCTTTCTTACAGCCAGGACTTTGTCTTGCCCACTCTGTGGATTTGCTGCAGCTGAAAGGCTAGTGGATCCTGCAGGGAGCTGAACCTGTGGCCCTGGTGGAGAGAGGTATCTTAGTATTTCACATGTAGGAGCTAGGCCTTGTCTACCATTGGGACTAGCCCTGGTGGTTCCGAGTGGTGCCCAGCTGTGAGGGTAGCTGCACCACAGCAAGCTCTTAGTGTGCACAGATGAGGATGATACCAATTGACTTGGCATCTGTGCAGTTTCCACCCGCTTGAGGTCAGGGTAAGCTGAGTTGGTACAAATCACAACTGATATTGGCCGTGCCTGGACACACCTGAGGTTTGCACAGATGCAGCTACTTCGGTGTCACTTGAAATTGCCCAGCATAGACAAAGCCTTAGATCAGTTAGGCTGCTAAAGGGGAAGTTTGACTCAAGATAAGCAGCTCCAGCCAGGTTAATTATGTAGCTGGAGTCAACGTGCTTTGATTCGAGTTTTCCCGCTTTCCCCACAGCGTGGGCCAATGGGGAGCAAATGTTCCTGTCACTTCCCTTACTCCATGCAACAGTGGGTGTAGGAGGGGGTGTGGGGAGTGCCCTCTGAGTTTGATTTAGCAGGTCTTTATTAGACCTGCTGAATCAAACTCCAGAAGATCCATTTTGGCAGCGTCAGTCTTCTATGGAGTAAAGAGATGGCCTAAGACTGAGCCATATCCACCCGTAGCCTTGTCCACATAAGCAGCCCCAGCTCTGTATCTGGTTAGCCAATGCACAGTTGAGCATCAGCAGCATATGGGGATCTAAGGACACTCGGAAGGGGAGCCGGGATGATCACTGCCAACAGTCAGGCATCTGGGGAATGCTGGTAGTTTGGAGGCACTGACTGACTAGTAATGATTCTTCTGAGCCTTCTGGTTTTTCCACTGGCTGGATCACTGATGCGGCCTTTTGTTCTTTGAGAGCATTGTTGTTATAATTGTATCCTGTTCCTCCATTGATGGGGTCTGGGATTTTAATATTTTCTTCTCTGAATGCTCTGGGGTGCTAGACTCTCCTTCCCCTCCCCTGTCCCAGGATTGCAGCCTGAATCCCCGCTGTTCTCCAGCTTTCTGTGTGCGGCATTAAGTTTTTACTTTCCTTGTTTACCCGGTTTGTGACGCTGCCATGCTCCGGTGTGTGTTCCATCCCTTCCAGCTCCTGATCCCGCTGAAATCGCAGGAAGACTTGGACCGCGCAGTGGAGCACTTGGACCTTAGCCCTTCTCTGAAGAGCCTGAGGGTGGTTGTGAAGGCTCCAAGGAAAGCGAACGTGAGCCCTTTAGCTTTGTTCCTTTTTGTGCAGAGCGAGCTGCACTATTGTTGTCGGGGGAGTGGAAAGGAGACGTGCTGTCCTAGGGGTGGCCGCTTGTAGCGGTCTGAGTTGGCATGAGGCTGCCTTCCATTCGTAGGTCTCTGCTCTGAAATCCCTCCTGTCGGCAGTGCAGCATAAATGCTCCGGTGCCGTCTGAGAGGCAGGCTTGGGTGCTGGGGCAATAGATGCCTTATCGATCCTGGAGACAGGCAGCAAGTGTATGTCTGTGACTGGACAGCCACACTGTGTATATCTTCCAGGGGGCTCCTGTGCGGCCTGCAGGGGAGTGTTTGTGTGAGCCATTATCCTGCGCTCAGACCCTGGAATATCAGTCTCGTTCTATGGCCACGCAGGGCCAGATTGCATGGGATTTTAGAGAAAGCACAGTAAGTTCTCTCCCCTTTGCCCATCCTGCATGGCAGACAGAGCAAGCGCAGGCTCTGCACCTGGGACAGAACAGGGACTGGTCCCGCTGCGTGAGGCCGGATGACACACCAAAGGAGCAGAACGAAGAACAAACTCTCCATCCAATGGGACACTGCAGACTGCCATGTCCCTGCAAATCCTCTGCACTTGTGCCTAGTAGAGTGAACCGCACCCACACTGGGTGTCCTGCTGAGAGGCACTGTCTGGATCTGTACATGTGCAGATGCATCCTGCCAAAGCATGAGCCGCACTGAGCATGCTCTCTGTGCACTGTCTCATGGGACAGCTGTACAATCCTAAGACACTGGCCATTTCACACGGGTGCTGATTGCTCTCCTCTCCCATGGACTTGATGGGAACCTGAGGGAGCTCTGCACTTCTGCAGGTGTCCAGGACCTTGCAGTATAGAACCAGAAAAGAGAATTGAACTGGGTGTCTCAAGTCCTAGGCTAGCACCCGAGTCATTAGACCTTCCTTCCTTGTGTCATTCCAGGGCACCTCCTGCTGGCCAGCCTGTAGACTGCAGAAGGCCCTGCTGCTAGGACAGGGCAGCTGAGTTAGTGAGATACTGAGGCATGCCAGTGTGGAACAGACTGGCCAACGGCTAAGTCTCCCAACATTTTTTCATATGCTCTTCCTTGTACTATAAAATTGTACATGCTGTGACCCAGCTGAATGTCAGGACCACTGCTTTCTGAGGGCAATCTACGAATTTTCCCTAAAAACAGCATGGTTATTAAAGCACCATATTGCCTAGGTGTGGCAGTTACCACCTTACTGGATATGCAGTTCCTGTTTCCTTATTATTTTTGTCCATCTGTCAGTTTTTCTTTCAAGTCCATCAATGGCTATTAGCCAGGATGGGCGGGAATGGGGTTTTTCCACTGGCTGGATCACTGATGCGGCCTTTTGTTCTTTGAGAGCATTGTTGTTATAATTGTATCCTGTTCCTCCATTGATGGGGTCTGGGATTTTAATATTTTCTTCTCTGAATGCTCTGGGGTGCTAGACTCTCCTTCCCCTCCCCTGTCCCAGGATTGCAGCCTGAATCCCCGCTGTTCTCCAGCTTTCTGTGTGCGGCATTAAGTTTTTACTTTCCTTGTTTACCCGGTTTGTGACGCTGCCATGCTCCGGTGTGTGTTCCATCCCTTCCAGCTCCTGATCCCGCTGAAATCGCAGGAAGACTTGGACCGCGCAGTGGAGCACTTGGACCTTAGCCCTTCTCTGAAGAGCCTGAGGGTGGTTGTGAAGGCTCCAAGGAAAGCGAACGTGAGCCCTTTAGCTTTGTTCCTTTTTGTGCAGAGCGAGCTGCACTATTGTTGTCGGGGGAGTGGAAAGGAGACGTGCTGTCCTAGGGGTGGCCGCTTGTAGCGGTCTGAGTTGGCATGAGGCTGCCTTCCATTCGTAGGTCTCTGCTCTGAAATCCCTCCTGTCGGCAGTGCAGCATAAATGCTCCGGTGCCGTCTGAGAGGCAGGCTTGGGTGCTGGGGCAATAGATGCCTTATCGATCCTGGAGACAGGCAGCAAGTGTATGTCTGTGACTGGACAGCCACACTGTGTATATCTTCCAGGGGGCTCCTGTGCGGCCTGCAGGGGAGTGTTTGTGTGAGCCATTATCCTGCGCTCAGACCCTGGAATATCAGTCTCGTTCTATGGCCACGCAGGGCCAGATTGCATGGGATTTTAGAGAAAGCACAGTAAGTTCTCTCCCCTTTGCCCATCCTGCATGGCAGACAGAGCAAGCGCAGGCTCTGCACCTGGGACAGAACAGGGACTGGTCCCGCTGCGTGAGGCCGGATGACACACCAAAGGAGCAGAACGAAGAACAAACTCTCCATCCAATGGGACACTGCAGACTGCCATGTCCCTGCAAATCCTCTGCACTTGTGCCTAGTAGAGTGAACCGCACCCACACTGGGTGTCCTGCTGAGAGGCACTGTCTGGATCTGTACATGTGCAGATGCATCCTGCCAAAGCATGAGCCGCACTGAGCATGCTCTCTGTGCACTGTCTCATGGGACAGCTGTACAATCCTAAGACACTGGCCATTTCACACGGGTGCTGATTGCTCTCCTCTCCCATGGACTTGATGGGAACCTGAGGGAGCTCTGCACTTCTGCAGGTGTCCAGGACCTTGCAGTATAGAACCAGAAAAGAGAATTGAACTGGGTGTCTCAAGTCCTAGGCTAGCACCCGAGTCATTAGACCTTCCTTCCTTGTGTCATTCCAGGGCACCTCCTGCTGGCCAGCCTGTAGACTGCAGAAGGCCCTGCTGCTAGGACAGGGCAGCTGAGTTAGTGAGATACTGAGGCATGCCAGTGTGGAACAGACTGGCCAACGGCTAAGTCTCCCAACATTTTTTCATATGCTCTTCCTTGTACTATAAAATTGTACATGCTGTGACCCAGCTGAATGTCAGGACCACTGCTTTCTGAGGGCAATCTACGAATTTTCCCTAAAAACAGCATGGTTATTAAAGCACCATATTGCCTAGGTGTGGCAGTTACCACCTTACTGGATATGCAGTTCCTGTTTCCTTATTATTTTTGTCCATCTGTCAGTTTTTCTTTCAAGTCCATCAATGGCTATTAGCCAGGATGGGCGGGAATGGTGTCCCTAGCCTCTGTTTGCCAAAATCTGGGAATGGATAAGAGGAGAGGGATCACTTGATGGTTACCTGTTCTGTTCACTGCCTTGGGGGCACCTGCAATTGGAAGACAGGATACTGGGCTAGATGGACCTTTGGTCCGATCCAGTACCGTTCTTACGTTCTTAAGTCCCAGTTCTCCAGATGAATCCGTGCAAATGGAACCTTACACTGCATGGAGTTTCAGTAAAGTCCAGGGTGTTTTGCAAGGGTCTGGATCTGACCGAAGGAATGGGGTCTGATATTGTAAGCGTTTTGGGGCAGAGACCTTCCCTTTCCTATCTGGAAATAATACATTGTAGGTGCTACCAGAGAGAAATAATATGACTTGTTTCATAATCTTTTTATTTATCCTTGGTAACCAAGATCTGATGTTTCTGTGTTGAATAAATGAATAGGCAGTGTAATTAATAATAATTAATTTACCCTCTCTGAGTTGGTTCATGTGGTAACCTCAGTACGTGGCGGTAGTCACCAAATGCTGTCGTTTTTGTGAGACCGTCTGGAAAGGTACAACTCCCGGCATGGGGCAGAGTGTAACCGTTCCTTTTCTCTGATTTTTTTAGTTTCTCCAGCCCAACAGTAAGCAGCATGAAATGAGAATATCTAAGTCCATGGGTGACATCATGGGGTCCCTGTGTAAAGACGCTGAGAGGACGCGGAAGTATTCAACAGGTGAGTGAAAGGCGATGGGCGTAGGTTCCCTGCAGACCGCTGCTGGTTCTTTGCAGGCCAGCCATACCCCTCCCCCTATCCCTGTGGTTCGTTTTTGTCTCCTGACACTTTTGTATCTGGGCAGGGCACTGAAGGCTCAGTGTAGTAAGGGTCTAGGACTCGAGCTAGGGGAAAAGTTGTGCTGGCTGAACTGGTGTGTGCATAGCTGCCCTGCCTGGACTGGAGAGGAGCCCTCTCAGTCACCTTGTTTCAGAGCCAGAAAAAGTGCAGTGTTCCTGGTTTGGCTGGAAGGGAAAACCCATGTAGCTGTAGAGGAATCCAATGAATTCAGTGCTGCTGAGTTTGATCAAGGCCTGGGACAGGGAGGACTCTGAGGAAGCTCAGTCTTCTCAAGCGTTTGCATTAACTGTTCTCTCCCATTTTCTTGACTTTTGAATTCTGCTTCACTCCCTTCTGTCAGCAAGGAAGAAATAACGAGACTGAGCGAGCTGGGGTTTGGCAGCTCCCGTGTTCGAATCCCAGCTCTGCCCCTGAAGTGAAACCAGTCACATTCCCCCCTCGCTTCTGCTGGCCTCAGTACAGTCACCAGTGAGAGAGGAGACCCTGCCTCCTTTTGTAACTCTAGAGGTGTGTCTGAACCTCTCTTGACCCACATGGTGAAAGGTACTTTCCTCCCTGAAGTGTTGTGAGAATGAATGTGTGTGAAGTGCTATTCAAACGAAACTGAATATCCTTTACTCTTCAGCCAGGGCTGTGGTCCTACCCACTCTGGTCACTAGGCCATGATCCCACGGCCGTCAGTCCACATGGACGGCGTCTGCTGAGTGTGGTTTCTCTCCTGGCTCTGCCACAGACTTGTGTAGGCTTGGGCATGTCTCTTCATCTTTCTCCCTTGGTTTCTGTCTGTGAAATGACTTCTCTCTTTAAGTACTTAGAAATCATTTGATGAAAAGTGTTGTTAGACTTCTTTTGATTGTTAAAAAGACCCCTATGGAAAATCCCGTAGGATTTTAATTGAGGATGGTATTCTTAATCTAGATCTAGTAAACGAACGTAAAAATTTTTATACCCAGAATATAATTCACTGACACTGTGTTGCCTGTCTTGAAAATTCTGTATGCATCTGGCGAAGTGGTTTTTACCCACACAAGCTCACGCCCAAATAAATGCCCAGATAAGTTAGTCTTTAAGGTGCCATGGGACTCCTGGTTGTTTTTTTAAAATTCTCCACTACATGGGTTACTTTATAATGTAATTTCTAGAGAGCCTTATTGGTTTCATCCAAATTATCATATATATAGTAGCCCAGTGTCTGTGAATCTGTAATGCTGATGTACATGGCCACGCCCCCCCCCTCGCTCCCTGGCAGTTCGGGCCCCTGGACACTCCCCACCCGCCAGCGCTGCTTCCCTCTCCCCTTCCTCTGGGCCCCCCCCATCTTCCCATCCAGCCCCACAGCCCCCAAACTCTCCCAGCTCTGCTTACCACCCCCCTTCCGGCCAGCCCCGCCCCCTCCCCCTCCCTCCGTGGTGGCTCGGCTGAGTGTTGTGCGCTCAGCCGGACCACCGTGGGGGAGGAGAGGAGGGGCAGGACAGTGACGTACATGGCCAGAGGGCGGTGGCCCGGCTGAGGGGCGCAGCACTCCTCTGAGTGCCACAGTGGGAGGGGAAGGGGGGCGGTGACGGACACAGCCCTGCCCCCTGGCCGTGTACGTCACCACCCCGCCCCCTTCCCCTCCCTCCGTGGTGGCTCGGCTGAGTGTTGTGCGCTCAGCCGGACCACCGTGGGGGAGGAGAGGAGGGGCAGGACAGTGACGTACATGGCCAGAGGGCGGTGGCCCGGCTGAGGGGCGCAGCACTCCTCTGAGTGCCACAGTGGGAGGGGAAGGGGGGCGGTGACGGACACAGCCCTGCCCCCTGGCCGTGTACGTCACCACCCCGCCCCCTTCCCCTCCCTCCGTGGTGGCTCGGCTGAGTGTTGTGCGCTCAGCCGGACCACCGTGGGGGAGGAGAGGAGGGGCAGGACAGTGACGTACATGGCCAGAGGGCGGTGGCCCGGCTGAGGGGCGCAGCACTCCTCTGAGTGCCACAGTGGGAGGGGAAGGGGGGCGGTGACGGACACAGCCCTGCCCCCTGGCCGTGTACGTCACCACCCCGCCCCCTTCCCCTCCCTCCGTGGTGGCTCGGCTGAGTGTTGTGCGCTCAGCCGGACCACCGTGGGGGAGGAGAGGAGGGGCAGGACAGTGACGTACATGGCCAGAGGGCGGTGGCCCGGCTGAGGGGCGCAGCACTCCTCTGAGTGCCACAGTGGGAGGGGAAGGGGGGCGGTGACGGACACAGCCCTGCCCCCTGGCCGTGTACGTCACCACCCCGCCCCCCTCCCTCACGGCAGCCCGGCTAAGCAGGGAGCACTCAGCAAAGTGCCATGGCAGGGGGGGAGGGGAGAGAGAGGCAGGAGGAGGAGGATGAGAAGAGAAAGGGAAAGTGAGAGGTAGGAGGGGGAGAAGAGAAAGAGAGAGAGAGAGAGGCAGGGGGAGGAGGACGAGAAGAGAAAGGGAAAGTGAGAGGCAGGAGGGGGAGGAGAGTTGAGAAAGAGAGACAGACAGCTCAGGAGAGAAGACCTGAAAATCCTGTTTTATGATGGGCTAATTGGCTAGTTATTTAATGTGTAGACTAGTAGTGCCAGAATTTCAGTCTAGATCAGGGCCCCACTGTGCTTATGCATTATATAAATAGACACAATTGCTGCTCCAAAAACTTGCAATATTTATATGCTATAGAATTTTACCATTGCGATAAAGGAATATCTCTTCCTGGAGATGTACTGTTTCTTGCTTGGATGGTATCTGCTGTCAGAGGGTATGTCTACACTTGAACCCTCTTTCGAGAGAGGGATGCAAATGCAGCTGAGTGAAATTGCAAATGAAGCGCAAATTTGAATTGCCTGCGCTTCATTTGCATAATCGCAGACTGCCACTATTTCGAAGTACCCTATTTCGAAATAACAAACACTGTGTAGACACAGTTATTTCAGGAGAAAACCCCTCTTTTGAAATAACCCTTGTTTCTCATACAATGAGGTTTACTGGTTATTTCGGAAGAAGGGGGTTCTTTCAAAATAACCGCATCTACCCAGCGTTCGTTATTTCTAAATATAGCAATTATGCAAATGAAGCATGGGAAATTCAAATCTGCGCTTCATTTGCAATTTAATTTATATCTCTCTCTTGAAAGAGGGTGCAAGTGTAGACATACCCAGATAGTGTAGGCTGCAGTTTGTTGACATATTGCACAGTGATGTGTGTGAGAGATTCTCCTGTAGTCAGTCAAATTCCACCCTGGGACAGCCATGCACAACGCCTGTGGAAGTCAAGGGAGCTGAGTGTGCAGATATAAGAACAGTATTTGGCTCCGTTCTGTTTATTTGGGTCTTTTAGCTCATGCTGCTCTTGAGTGTTTGCCTAGAGCCTAGCAGAGTCTCTGGCTGCATCTGAATGAAACATGCATTAATACATGTTATTGTACAAAGCCTCAGTAGGAACTGTTTGTACTTAAACAGAATAACATCTCTGCTTTTTTTCCTTGGGGCATGTTAAACTGTTAACACATACCCATAAACGCCAGTGATGGCATTGGGAGTTAATGTGTGCGTGCAGATGGCAGAATTGATCCCACATGTAGCTACGCTAATGGGAGGATTGAAGTATTTGTTGTTCTAGTAATGTGGGGCACTTGCTCAGATTTACAGCCAAGCCACCTTGGGCTTTCACCATTATTATTTGTATCGCACTAGTGTCTACAGGCCTTAATCAAGATGGGAGTCCCACTATGCTAGGCACTGTGCGCATGTGTGTGTGTGTATATATATATATATATATATATATATATATAATACGAGACCACACCAATCTTTACCCTGA